TTGTTTTTAATTATGTATGAATGTTTCTCTTATATGACTATAATTTGTTAAACTTCCTAACTTTATTAATACAAATTGACGGATCATTTATTACTTGGAAAAACCTGGAAAACGGGATATTGAGAGAATTCTTCTTTTATCTGGAATTTTTCATGAAATTTATCAATTTTTTAGGAAAGTTATTTCTTAAATTTTATCTTTAAATTTACATCTCTATTTGAAAATATTTCTTTGATAATTTAATATAGATATAATAGAGAAAATATTTCTCTTGATAATGTAAATTGTCGAAAATCTGTGGGGGGATATAAGTATATGTATGCACTTCCGTGTATATTCCCATTTTTTGTATATACTGTATCTTACAAATTCTTATAAAATCAGAGTGATAATAGAAGACAATATCCAATAGAAGAGAGTAGCTCATGAATATTATACATAGGATGTCTTATCTTAATGTATAATTAAAATTGCAGGGCATGAAAAAGGTTCTCATATGACAATAATTTTTGTTCAGATGAAAGCACTTCAGAGATTTCGAGATTAATTTTGTTTGTTAAACTGAAATTATATAATTTTTTTATATAATATGATTCGTTTAAGTATTCTGCATTTAAAAATATTAAGGTATGAATCTAATAGCTTACGAAATATATTTTAATGTTACATATTGACATGAAATATTAAGTATCTTGTAAACTGTTAATTTTTTAATATTGTAATACTTTTATATAGAATAGAAGAATTATTAGAAGAATTATATTATTATATTATTATATTATTATATTTAATTATAAAAAAAATCATATTATTTCATTCAAAAAAGTGGAAGTAATATATCTTTTTGGCACCTCTTTTTTCTCTTTCTCTCCCATCTAAAAAAAAACGTGATCAAAATACGTTCTCGAAACGTTTCACTTTTGTCTGAAATATTTTTTTTGCAATTGTCATATATTTCGAAATGTTTACCATAGTAAATTAAAATCAGACATCCTCTATATAAAGATGTCTCATTTTAAATAATGCATTAAGATTTCTCGAAAACTATGATAGAATGGAAAAACTATGATAGAATGTTTCAAACAAAAGTTGTATAGTTTGGAGGGGAACGTAAGAAGGTGATTTGTACATGGATTGCGTCGCCAAGGTCAAATCAATAATATCTTTTTATGTCCCCTTCCAAACCATACAACTTTTGTTTGAAACATTTTTCCGTATTTATCACAGTTTTCGAGGGATCTTAATACATTATTTAAAATGAGATACCCTGTATATGATAAAACAGCAGTTATTTTTTGCAGTTTCATAAAGTTATTTTTTGCAGTTTCATAAAGTTTTAAAATGTCAAGAATATTTCAGAGCTTGATGTTGCCTTTCCTGTTATGATCGACTTTTACTGATGTTTATTAGAGATAAAGTGATGTATATTTTTTCTGATAAGGATGCAACTTTCTTACAAATTCCTCTTGAGAATATTAATGTTTCTTTCAATAATAAAAGAATAACATATAAAATATAAACCTTAAAAACAGATATATAAAATATTAAGAATAATTTTTTTACGGATATATTATTTTTAAAAGCTATTTTAAATATAT